TTAATTTTATTAATATGTATTTATTTATTTCCCGGCGAATGCGTCGGAAGGGCAATAGAACGGTAGCGGAAGGGGTTTATAGGGAAATGGAGGCGAGAATATGTCGGGTGCGATCGTACCAGCACTAATGCACCGGATCCCATCAGAACTCCGCAGTTAAGCGTGCTTGGGCGAGAGTAGTACTAGGATGGGTGACCCCCTGGGAAGTCCTTGTGTTGCACCCCTTTTTAGTCCGGTTTTGTATTTTTAATTTTAATTTTAATTTTATTAATACGTATTTATTTATTTCCCGGCGAATGCGTCGGAAGGGCAATAGAACGGTAGCGGAAGGGGTTTATAGGGAAATGGAGGCGAGAATATGTCGGGTGCGATCATACCAGCACTAATGCACCGGATCCCATCAGAACTCCGCAGTTAAGCGTGCTTGGGCGAGAGTAGTACTAGGATGGGTGACCCCCTGGGAAGTACTCGTGTTGCACCCCTTTTTAGTCCGGTTTTGTATTTTTAATTTTAATTTTAATTTTATTAATATGTATTTATTTATTTCCCGGCGAATGCGTCGGAAGGGCAATAGAACGGTAGCGGAAGGGGTTTATAGGGAAATGGAGGCGAGAATATGTCGGGTGCGATCATACCAGCACTAATGCACCGGATCCCATCAGAACTCCGCAGTTAAGCGTGCTTGGGCGAGAGTAGTACTAGGATGGGTGACCCCCTGGGAAGTCCTCGTGTTGCACCCCTTTTTAGTCCGGTTTTGTATTTTTAATTTTAATTTTAATTTTATTAATATGTATTTATTTATTTCCCGGCGAATGCGTCGGAAGGGCAATAGAACGGTAGCGGAAGGGGTTTATAGGGAAATGGAGGCGAGAATATGTCGGGTGCGATCATACCAGCACTAATGCACCGGATCCCATCAGAACTCCGCAGTTAAGCGTGCTTGGGCGAGAGTAGTACTAGGATGGGTGACCCCCTGGGAAGTCCTCGTGTTGCACCCCTTTTTAGTCCGGTTTTGTATTTTTAATTTTAATTTTAATTTTATTAATATGTATTTATTTATTTCCCGGCGAATGCGTCGGAAGGGCAATAGAACGGTAGCGGAAGGGGTTTATAGAGAAATGGAGGCGAGAATATGTCGGGTGCGATCATACCAGCACTAATGCACCGGATCCGATCAGAACTCCGCAGTTAAGCGTGCTTGGGCGAGAGTAGTACTAGGATGGGTGACCCCCTGGGAAGTTCTCGTGTTGCACCCCATTTTAGTCCGGTTTTGTATTTTTAATTTTAATTTTAATTTTATTAATATGTATTTATTTATTTCCCGGCGAATGCGTCGGAAGGGCAATAGAACGGTAGCGGAAGGGGTTTATAGGGAAATGGAGGCGAGAATATGTCGGGTGCGATCATACCAGCACTAATGCACCGGATCCCATCAGTACTCCGCAGTTAAGCGTGCTTGGGCGAGAGTAGTACTAGGATGGGTGACCCCCTTGGAAGTCCTCGTGTTGCACCCCTTTTTAGTCCGGTTTTGTATTTTTAATTTTAATTTTTTTAATATGTATTTATTTATTTCCCGGCGAATGCGTCGGAAGGGCAATAGAACGGTAGCGGAAGGGGTTTATAGGGAAATGGAGGCGAGAATATGTCGGGTACGATCATACCAGCACTAATGCACCGGATCCCATCAGAACTCCGCAGTTAAGCGTGCTTGGGCGAGAGTAGTACTAGGATGGGTGACCCCCTGGGAAGTCCTCGTGTTGCACCCCTTTTTAGTCCGGTTTTGTATTTTTAATTTTAATTTTAATTTTATTAATATGTATTTATTTATTTCCCGGCGAATGCGTCGGAAGGGCAATAGAACGGTAGCGGAAGGGGTTTATAGGGAAATGGAGGCGAGAATATGTCGGGTGCGATCATACCAGCACTAATGCACCGGATCCCAACAGAACTCCGCAGTTAAGCGTGCTTGGGCGAGAGTAGTACTAGGATGGGTGACCCCCTGGGAAGTCCTCGTGTTGCACCCCTTTTTAGTCCGGTTTTGTATTTTTAATTTTAATTTTAATTTTATTAATATGTATTTATTTATTTCCCGGCGAATGGGTCGGAAGGGCAATAGAACGGTAGCGGAAGGGGTTTATAGGGAAATGGAGGCGAGAATATGTCGGGTGCGATCATACCAGCACTAATGCACCGGATCCCATCAGAACTCCGCAGTTAAGCGTGCTTGGGCGAGAGTAGTACTAGGATGGGTGACCCCCTGGGAAGTCCTCGTGTTGCACCCCTTTTTAGTCCGGTTTTGTATTTTTAATTTTAATTTTAATTTTATTAATATGTATTTGTTTATTTCCCGGCGAATGCGTCGGAAGGGCAATAGAACGGTAGCGGAAGGGGTTTATAGGGAAATGGAGGCGAGAATATGTCGGGTGCGATCATACCAGCACTAATGCACCGGATCCCATCAGAACTCCGCAGTGAAGCGTGCTTGGGCGAGCGTAGTACTAGGATGGGTGACCCCCTGGGAAGTCCTCGTGTTGCACCCCTTTTTAGTCCGGTTTTGTATTTTTAATTTTAATTTTAATTTTATTAATATGTATTTATTTATTTCCCGGCGAATGTGTCGGAAGGGCAATAGAACGGTAGCGGAAGGGGTTTATAGGGAAATGGAGGCGAGAATATGTCGGGTGCGATCATACCAGCACTAATGCACCGGATCCCATCAGAACTCCGCAGTTAAGCGTGCTTGGGCGAGAGTAGTACTAGGATGGGTGACCCCCTGGGAAGTCCTCGTGTTGCACCCCTTTTTAGTCCGGTTTTGTATTTTTAATTTTAATTTTAATTTTATTAATATGTATTTATTTATTTCCCGGCGAATGCGTCGGAAGGGCAATAGAACGGTAGCGGAAGGGGTTTATAGGGAAATGGAGGCGAGAATATGTCGGGTGCGATCATACCACCACTAATGCACCGGATCCCATCAGAACTCCGCAGTTAAGCGTGCTTGGGCGAGAGTAATACAAGGATGGGTGACCCCCTGGGAAGTCCTCGTGTTGCACCCCTTTTTAGTCCGGTTTTGTATTTTTAATTTTAATTTTAATTTATTAATATGTATTTATTTATTTCCCGGCGAATGCGTCGGAAGGGCAATAGAACGGTAGCGGAAGGGGTTTATAGGGAAATGGAGGCGAGAATATGTCGGGTGCGATCGTACCAGCACTAATGCACCGGATCCCATCAGAACTCCGCAGTTAAGCGTGCTTGGGCGAGAGTAGTACTAGGATGGGTGACCGCCTGGGAAGTCCTCGTGTTGCACCCCTTTTTAGTCCGGTTTTGTATTTTTAATTTTAATTTTAATTTTATTAATATGTATTTATTTATTTCCCGGCGAATGCGTCGGAAGGGCAATAGAACGGTAGCGGAAGGGGTTTATAGGGGAATGGAGGCGAGAATATGTCGGGTGCGATCATACCAGCACTAATGCACCGGATCCCATCAGAACTCCGCAGTTAAGCGTGCTTGGGCGAGAGTAGTACTAGGATGGGTGACCCCCTGGGAAGTCCTCGTGTTGCACCCCTTTTTAGTCCGGTTTTGTATTTTTAATTTTAATTTTAATTTTATTAATATGTATTTATTTATTTCCCGGCGAATGCGTCGGAAGGGCAATAGAACGGTAGCGGAAGGGGTTTATAGGGAAATGGAGGCGAGAATATGTCGGGTGCGATCATACCAGCACTAATGCACCGGATCCCATCAGAACTCCGCAGTTAAGCGTGCTTGGGCGAGAGTAGTACTAGGATGGGTGACCCCCTGGGAAGTCCTCGTGTTGCACCCCTTTTTAGTCCGGTTTTGTATTTTTAATTTTAATTTTAATTTTATTAATATGTATTTATTTATTTCCCGGCGAATGCGTCGGAAGGGCAATAGAACGGTAGCGGAAGGGGTTTATAGGGAAATGGAGGCGAGAATATGTCGGGTGCGATCGTACCAGCACTAATGCACCGGATCCCATCAGAACTACGCAGTTAAGCGTGCTTGGGCGAGAGTAGTACTAGGATGGGTGACCCCCTGGGAAGTCCTTGTGTTGCACCCCTTTTTAGTCCGGTTTTGTATTTTTAATTTTAATTTTAATTTTATTAATACGTATTTATTTATTTCCCGGCGAATGCGTCGGAAGGGCAATAGAACGGTAGCGGAAGGGGTTTATAGGGAAATGGAGGCGAGAATATGCCGGGTGCGATCAAACCAGCACTAATGCACCGGATCCCATCAGAACTCCGCAGTTAAGCGTGCTTGGGCGAGAGTAGTACTAGGATGGGTGACCCCCTGGGAAGTACTCGTGTTGCACCCCTTTTTAGTCCGGTTTTGTATTTTTAATTTTAATTTTAATTTTATTAATATGTATTTATTTATTTCCCGGCGAATGCGTCGGAAGGGCAATAGAACGGTAGCGGAAGGGGTTTATAGGGAAATGGAGGCGAGAATATGTCGGGTGCGATCATACCAGCACTAATGCACCGGATCCCATCAGAACTCCGCAGTTAAGCGTGCTTGGGCGAGAGTAGTACTAGGATGGGTGACCCCCTGGGAAGTCCTCGTGTTGCACCCCTTTTTAGTCCGGTTTTGTATTTTTAATTTTAATTTTAATTTTATTAATATGTATTTATTTATTTCCCGGCGAATGCGTCGGAAGGGCAATAGAACGGTAGCGGAAGGGGTTTATAGGGAAATGGAGGCGAGAATATGTCGGGTGCGATCATACCAGCACTAATGCACCGGATCCCATCAGAACTCCGCAGTTAAGCGTGCTTGGGCGAGAGTAGTACTAGGATGGGTGACCCCCTGGGAAGTCCTCGTGTTGCACCCCTTTTTAGTCCGGTTTTGTATTTTTAATTTTAATTTTAATTTTATTAATATGTATTTATTTATTTCCCGGCGAATGCGTCGGAAGGGCAATAGAACGGTAGCGGAAGGGGTTTATAGGGAAATGGAGGCGAGAATATGTCGGGTGCGATAATACCAGCACTAATGCACCGGATCCCATCAGAACTCCGCAGTTAAGCGTGCTTGGGCGAGAGTAGTACTAGGATGGGTGACCCCCTGGGAAGTCCTCGTGTTGCACCCCTTTTTAGTCCGGTTTTGTATTTTTAATTTTAATTTTAATTTTATTAATATGTATTTATTTATTTCCCGGCGAATGCGTCGGAAGGGCAATAGAACGGTAGCGGAAGGGGTTTATAGGGAAATGGAGGCGAGAATATGTCGGGTGCGATCGTACCAGCACTAATGCACCGGATCCCATCAGAACTCCGCAGTTAAGCGTGCTTGGGCGAGAGTAGTACTAGGATGGGTGACCCCCTGGGAAGTCCTTGTGTTGCACCCCTTTTTAGTCCGGTTTTGTATTTTTAATTTTAATTTTAATTTTATTAATACGTATTTATTTATTTCCCGGCGAATGCGTCGGAAGGGCAATAGAACGGTAGCGGAAGGGGTTTATAGGGAAATGGAGGCGAGAATATGTCGGGTGCGATCATACCAGCACTAATGCACCGGATCCCATCAGAACTCCGCAGTTAAGCGTGCTTGGGCGAGAGTAGTACTAGGATGGGTGACCCCCTGGGAAGTCCTCGTGTTGCACCCCTTTTTAGTCCGGTTTTGTATTTTTAATTTTAATTTTAATTTTATTAGTATGTATTTATTTATTTCCCGGCGAATGCGTCGGAAGGGCAATAGAACGGTAGCGGAAGGGGTTTATAGGGAAATGGAGGCGAGAATATGTCGGGTGCGATCATACCAGCACTAATGCACCGGATCCCATCAGAACTCCGCAGTTAAGCGTGCTTGGGCGAGAGTAGTACTAGGATGGGTGACCCCCTGGGAAGTCCTCGTGTTGCACCCCTTTTTAGTCCGGTTTTGTATTTTTAATTTTAATTTTAATTTTATTAATATGTATTTATTTATTTCCCGGCGAATGCGTCGGAAGGGCAATAGAACGGTAGCGGAAGGGGTTTATAGGGAAATGGAGGCGAGAATATGTCGGGTGCGATCATACCAGCACTAATGCACCAGATCCCATCAGAACTCCGCAGTTAAGCGTGCTTGGGCGAGAGTAGTACTAGGATGGGTGACCCCCTGGGAAGTCCTCGTGTTGCACCCCTTTTTAGTCCGGTTTTGTATTTTTAATTTTAATTTTAATTTTATTAATATGTATTTATTTATTTCCCGGCGAATGCGTCGGAAGGGCAATAGAACGGTAGCGGAAGGGGTTTATAGGGAAATGGAGGCGAGAATATGTCGGGTGCGATCGTACCAGCACTAATGCACCGGATCCCATCAGAACTCCGCAGTTAAGCGTGCTTGGGCGAGAGTAGTACTAGGGGGATGGGTGACCTCCTGGGAAGTCCTCGTGTTGCACCCCTTTTTAGTCCGGTTTTGTATTTTTAATTTTAATTTTAATTTTAATTTTATTAATATGTATTTATTTATTTCCCAGCGAATGCGTCGGAAGGGCAATAGAACGGTAGCGGAAGGGGTTTATAGGGAAATGGAGGCGAGAATATGTCGGGTGCGATCATACCAGCACTAATGCACCGGATCCCATCAGAACTCCGCAGTTAAGCGTGCTTGGGCGAGAGTAGTACTAGGATGGGTGACCCCCTGGAAAGTCCTCGTGTTGCACCCCTTTTTAGTCCGGTTTTGTATTTTTAATTTTAATTTTAATTTTATTAATATGTATTTATTTATTTCCCGGCGAATGCGTCGGAAGGGCAATAGAACGGTAGCGGAAGGGGTTTGTATGGAAATGGAGGCGAGAATATGTCGGGTGCGATCGTACCAGCACTAATGCACCGGATCCCATCAGAACTCCGCAGTTAAGCGTGCTTGGGCGAGAGTAGTACTAGGATGGGTGACCCCCTGGGAAGTCCTCGTGTTGCACCCCTTTTTAGTCCGGTTTTGTATTTTTAATTTTAATTTTAATTTTATTAATATGTATTTATTTATTTCCCGGCGAATGCGTCGGAAGGGCAATAGAACGGTAGCGGAAGGGGTTTATAGGGAAATGGAGGCGAGAATATGTCGGGTGCGATCATACCAGCACTAATGCACCGGATCCCATCAGAACTCCGCAGTTAAGCGTGCTTGGGCGAGAGTAGTACTAGGATGGGTGACCCCCTGGGAAGTCCTCGTGTTGCACCCCTTTTTAGTCCGGTTTTGTATTTTTAATTTTAATTTTAATTTTATTAATATGTATTTATTTATTTCCCGGCGAATGCGTCGGAAGGGTAATAGAACGGTAGCGGAAGGGGTTTATAGGGAAATGGAGGCGAGAATATGTCGGGTGCGATCATACCAGCACTAATGCACCGGATCCCATCAGAACTCCGCAGTTAAGCGTGCTTGGGCGAGAGTAGTACTAGGATGGGTGACCCCCTGGGAAGTCCTCGTGTTGCACCCCTTTTTAGTCCGGTTTTGTATTTTTAATTTTAATTTTAATTTTATTAATATGTATTTATTTATTCCCCGGCGAATGCGTCGGAAGGGCAATAGAACGGTAGCGGAAGGGGTTTATAGGGAAATGGAGGCGAGAATATGTCGGGTGCGATCATACCAGCACTAATGCACCGGATCCCATCAGTACTCCGCAGTTAAGCGTGCTTGGGCGAGAGTAGTACTAGGATGGGTGACCCCCTGGGAAGTCCTCGTGTTGCACCCCTTTTTAGTCCGGTTTTGTATTTTTAATTTTAATTTTAATTTTATTAATATGTATTTATTTATTTCCCGGCGAATGCGTCGGAAGGGCAATAGAACGGTACCGGAAGGGGTTTATAGGGAAATAGAGGCGAGAATATGTCGGGTGCGATCATACCAGCACTAATGCACCGGATCCCATCAGAACTCCGCAGTTAAGCGTGCTTGGGCGAGAGTAGTACTAGGATGGGTGACCCCCTGGGAAGTCCTCGAGTTGCACCCCTTTTTAGTCCGGTTTTGTATTTTTAATTTTAATTTTAATTTTATTAATATGTATTTATTTATTTCCCGGCGAATGCGTCGGAAGGGCAATAGAACGGTAGCGGAAGGGGTTTATAGGGAAATGGAGGCGAGAATATGTCGGGTGCGATCATACCAGCACTAATGCACCGGATCCCATCAGAACTCCGCAGTTAAGCGTGCTTGGGCGAGAGTAGTACTAGGATGGGTGACCCCCTGGGAAGTCCTCGTGTTGCACCCCTTTTTAGTCCGGTTTTGTATTTTTAATTTTAATTTTAATTTTATTAATATGTATTTATTTATTTCCCGGCGAATGCGTCGGAAGGGCAATAGAACGGTAGCGGAAGGGGTTTATAGGGAAATGGAGGCGAGAATATGTCGGGTGCGATCGTACCAGCACTAATGCACCGGATCCCTTCAGAACTCCGCAGTTAAGCGTGCTTGGGCGAGAGTAGTACTAGGATGGGTGACCCCCTGGGAAGTCCTCGTGTTGCACCCCTTTTTAGTCCGGTTTTGTATTTTTAATTTTAATTTTAATTTTATTAATATGTATTTATTTATTTCCCGGCGAATGCGTCGGAAGGGCAATAGAACGGTAGCGGAAGGGGTTTATAGGGAAATGGAGGCGAGAATATGTCGGGTGCGATCATACCAGCACTAATGCACCGGATCCCATCAGTACTCCGCAGTTAAGCGTGCTTGGGCGAGAGTAGTACTAGAATGGGTGACCCCCTGGGAAGTCCTCGTGTTGCACCCCTTTTTAGTCCGGTTTTGTATTTTTAATTTTAATTTTAATTTTATTAATATGTATTTATTTATTTCCCGGCGAATGCGTCGGAAGGGCAATAGAACGGTAGCGGAAGGGGTTTATAGGGAAATAGAGGCGAGAATATGTCGGGTGCGATCATACCAGCACTAATGCACCGGATCCCATCAGAACTCCGCAGTTAAGCGTGCTTGGGCGAGAGTAGTACTAGGATGGGTGACCCCCTGGGAAGTCCTCGTGTTGCACCCCTTTTTAGTCCGGTTTTGTATTTTTAATTTTAATTTTAATTTTATTAATATGTATTTATTTATTTCCCGGCGAATGCGTCGGAAGGGCAATAGAACGGTAGCGGAAGGGGTTTATAGGGAAATGGAGGCGAAAATATGTCGGGTGCGATCATACCCGCACTAATGCACCGGATCCCATCAGAACTCCGCAGTTAAGAGCGCTTGGGCGAGAGTAGTACTAGGATGGGTGACCCCCTGGGAAGTCCTCGTGTTGCACCCCTTTTTAGTCCGGTTTTGTATTTTTAATTTTAATTTTAATTTTATTAATATGTATTTATTTATTTCCCGGCGAATGCGTCGGAAGGGCAATAGAACGGTAGCGGAAGGGGTTTATAGGGAAATGGAGGCGAGAATATGTCGGGTGCGATCATACCAGCACTAATGCACCGGATCCCATCAGAACTCCGCAGTTAAGCGTGCTTGGGCGAGAGTAGTACTAGGATGGGTGACCCCCTGGGAAGTCCTCGTGTTGCACTCCTTTTTAGTCCGGTTTTGTATTTTTAATTTTAATTTTAATTTTATTAATATGTATTTATTTATTTCCCGGCGAATGCGTCGGAAGGGCAATAGAACGGTAGCGGAAGGGGTTTATAGGGAAATGGAGGCGAGAATATGTCGGGTGCGATCATACCAGCACTAATGCACCGGATCCCATCAGAACTCCGCAGTTAAGCGTGCTTGGGCGAGAGTAGTACTAGGATGGGTGACCCCCTGGGAAGTCCTCGTGTTGCACCCCTTTTTAGTCCGGTTTTGTATTTTTAATTTTAATTTTAATTTTATTAATATGTATTTATTTATTTCCCGGCGAATGCGTCGGAAGGGCAATAGAACGGTAGCGGAAGGGGTTTATAGGGAAATGGAGGCGAGAATATGTCGGGTGCGATCATACCAGCACTAATGCACCGGATCCCATCAGAGCTCCGCAGTTAAGCGTGCTTGGGCGAGAGTAGTACTAAGATGGGTGACCCCCTGGGAAGTCCTCGTGTTGCACCCCTTTTTAGTCCGGTTTTGTATTTTTAATTTTAATTTTAATTTTATTAATATGTATTTATTTATTTCCCGGCGAATGCGTCGGAAGGGCAA